TGAAAAGATTTCACATTGACGGCAAACCATCCATGAAAACCCCTATGTCCCCAAACAACAAGCTGGATTCTGACCCTTCAGGGAAACCTGTAGATGCTACCAACTACAGGGCAATCATTGGATCTTTGCTCTACCTCACATCTAGCAGGCCTGATATAATGTTCTCCACATGCTTGTGTGCACGTTTCCAAGCGAATCCGAAAGAATCTCATCTGACCTCCGTAAGAAGAATCTTGAGATACCTCAATGGAACTGTGAACTTAGGCCTTTGGTACCCTAAGCACTCAGGTTTAAACCTTGTCGGATATTCGGACGCTGATTTTGCGGGTTGCAGAATGGACAGAAAAAGTACTTCGGGAGGCGCCCGATTCTTGGGTGAGAAGTTAATCTGTTGGTCTTCTAAGAAGCAGAACTGTGTGTCAGCTGAAAGACTCAGCTGAAAGACTACGGTTACACATACCGCCATATCCCGATCTACAGTGATTCTCAAAGTGCAATTGCCATCACCAGCAACCTTGTTCACCACTCCCGCACCAAGCACATCGATCTGCGCTATCATTTCATCAAGGACCACGTGGAGAAAGGAGATATTAACATGTACTTTGTATGCTCAGAGCTTCAATTGGCTGACTTGTTTACTAAGGCACTGGACGAAAAGAGATTCCAGTTTCTAGTCTCCAAGTTAGGTATGTTGAACCTCGAGCCTGTGTAATTTAATTTCAAAAAAGGCATGTAGCCGCACCCTATTAAATTTCAAAACGTATTAAACTCGTGTCGCTTTGTGATCGTGTTCATAGATGACATCTTGATTTACTCAAAGAGTGAGGAGGAGCACGAGAAACACTTAGTACTTGTTCTTGAGACACTACAAGAGAAGCAACTCTATGCTAAATTTTCTAAGTGTGAATTTTGGCTAAATGCGATTGGCTTTCTCGGGCATGTGGTTTCGGGATCGGGAATTGCTGTTGATAACAAGAAGATTGAGGCCATCACCGAATGGGAAAGGCCAAAGAACGTCAAGGAAATTTGTAGTTTCCTCGGATTGGCGGGCTATTATAGAAAGTTCGTGGAGAAATTTTCAGTTTTGGCGTCACCATTGACAAAGCACACTCGAAAAGGGGCTAAGTTTGTATGGGATGACCGATGTGAGAAGGGATTCCTAGAGCTAAAGAGGAGATTGACCGAGGCACCGGTACTCGCATTACCCAAACAGGGTATGGGGTACGATGTCTATAGCGATGCGAGCATCCAAGGGCTGGGATGTGTGTTGATGCAAAATGGGAGGGTGATTGCCTATGCTTCGCGACAGTTGAAGAAGCATGAGGTAAATTATCCTACTCATGATTTAGAGTTGGGAGCTGTGGTGTTTGCACTGAAGATATGGAGACATTATCTCTACGGGGAGACGTGTCACATATACACTGACCACAAGAGCTTGAAATACGTGTTTACTCAGAAAGAGTTAAACATGAAACAGAGGCGGTGGATGGAGTTGATAAAAGACTACCATCTAGTTATTGAATACCACCCCGGTAAAGTCAACGTGGTGGCGGATGCCTTGAGCCGAAAGAGTTCGTCCGGGGCATTGTTGACCAGTTTGAGGGCATTGAGGGCCCAATTGGAGGTATCTAGCGATGGTGCCTTGTTAGCTAGGTTCGAGGTGAGACCTACGTTACTTGATGAGATCAAGAAGGGTCAAGAAAGTGATGAAGAACTTATGAAGGTCCATGAACGCATGCTGGCGGGACCGGTGGAGGATTTCAGGGAAAGAGACGATGGTCTCTTGCTATTTCGTGACCGAGTGTGTGTACCGACGGATGATGAGCTTCGAAAGTCCATCTTAGAGGAGGCTCATTCATCGGCGTATGCCATGCACCTGGGAGGTACAAAAATAAATTGTGATTTGAAGGAAAGTTATTGGTGGTCTGGTATGAAGAGAGAAATAGCCGAATACATCAGTAGGTGTCTTACTTGCCAGCATATTAAGGCAGAACATCAGCATCCAGCTGGGTTATTATAGCCACTTTCCATTCCTGAATGGAAATGGGAACACGTGACCATGGATTTCGTGGTGGGGCTACCGCGGACGGTTAAGAACTATGATGCCGTATGGGTCGTGGTTGATAGGCTCACGAAGAGTGCACATTTCCTACCTATCAACACCACCTATACACTGGAAAGGTTAGCCAAATTGTATGTGGATGAGATCGTGAGGCTACACGGGGTTCCAATAACCATTGTATCCGATAGATATCCACGATTCACATCACGATTTTGGCTGAAGTTCCAAGAATCTATGGGAACCAAACTGAAATTTAGCACTACTTTTCATCCACAGACGGATGGACAATCCGAAAGGGTTATACAAATTTTGAAGGATATGTTGAGAGCTTGTGCATTGGAGTTCCAAGGAAGTTGGGACAACCATTTAGCACTCGTGGAGTTTGCATATAACAACAGTTATCAGGTGAGCATCGACATGCCTCCATACGAGGCATTGTATGGGAGGAGATGTCGTACACCTTTGTGTTGGGATGAGGTTGGCATGGCCAAACTCGAGAGCACGGAATTTGGTGGAGATCACCAAATCAAAGGTAAAGATGATCCGTGAGAAACTTAAGGCGACACAGGATAGACAGAAGAGCTATGCCGATAAGAGCCAAAGAGCCTTAGAATTTAAGGTTGGAGATGAGGTATTTTTGAAGGTTTCACCTTGGAAGGGAATCATACGATTTCACAGCCGAGGGAAACTAAACCCACGGTATATATGGCCATTTGTGATTCTTGAGAGAATTGGGGCCGTAACATACCACTTACAGTTGACTCCGGAGTTGGAGAAGATACATAATGTGTTCCACGTGTCTATGCTTAAGAAGTACTCCCTCTGTCCCGAAATAATTGTCCTGCTTTCCTTTTCGGTCCGTCCCGAAATAATTGTCTCCTTTCCTTATTTGGTAAACAAATCTATACAAAACAATGTCAAACAGTGCAAAACAGTGCCAAACAATGTCGCTACAGTGCCAAACAGTGTCGCTACAGTGTGAAGTCAACTTTGTTTTCTTAATCTGTGTGAAGGTCGAAACAGGACGATTATTTCGGGATGGAGGGAGTATATGCTGGATCCATCTCATGTATTGGAGAAACCACCCGTGGACATATGGGAAGACCTGAACTATGCTGTGCAACCGGTAAAGGTACTTGATAGGCAAGTAAAGAAGCTAAGAAGCAAGAAAGTTCCAATGGTGAAAATCCTGTGGAAAAGTGACCGAGTTGAAGAAGAAACTTGGGAAACGGAAGTCTTGATGAAGGAACAATATGCTTTTCTGTTTGAATATGCGTTGTGAATTTCGGGGACGAAATTCCCGTTAGGGGGGGGGGGGGGGAGTGAACTTGTAGCACCGTCCCCGAGCACATTTACTTTTTAGTAAATTATGTAATAAACCTTGATGAATAAATCACGAATTTGCGAAGTTGAAAATTTTATTATTTCTTTTGCGTGAATAGTAAATTGCATGTGGGGCCCACGCCGGGAACAGGGACCGCCCGATAAGTCCAGAATCACATATTATATTCATCTTAGTCTAGATGATATGTATATGAGGTGGATCTTTTAGTATGCCCATATAAAGAGCATAGAGTTGACCCGTTGGTCAAACGAGGCCCAAATACCGATATTGGTAATTTATCGAATAACAGCCCGAAATGAATTTCAGAGACTCCTAAATTAAAGTTGGGGAATGTACATCTATTCTAAAGTCCTATAATAACCAGGAACGTGTGATATATTTTATTTGGCCCGATAAAATAAAATATAATTAAAACAGTCTGAGAAATACAACTTTCGGGGCAGATTGTACAGTTTCGGGCACAAAGGGATGACCTCCCACATGAGTGGGGGCCACCCCACGTTTTTGTGTGTGCAATGTGACTCATGGAAGCTAGAATGACAAAAGAATGGGTGGAGCAAAGCCATTTGGAATCTAAAGTACCAAAGAGGGCCCCCACTTTCTTAAGAGATAGGATTGTGAATAGAGATGCCTTAAGTAGTCTTAAGTGATACTTTAAGGTTGAATTGTGCGAACACTAAGGTGTGCTAGGGATAGGCCTAAAGGCTATCGAAGTGAATTGATTCTAGGCATAGGGTTTGCTTGAGAATTGGGCTATGAAAATAAATTAGACTCGGACTCTAGGATTGCATGAAAATGTAGTTAGGCTGAGCCCTTGCCATGTAATGTGATTAGCATGGAAACGTAGTTGGGACGAGCCCTTGCCATGTATTTGTGATCTTCATGGAAACGTAGTTGGACCGAGTCCTTGCCATGAAGTTATATGGTTGGTATGGAAACGTAGTTGGGCGGAGCCCTTGCCATACAATTTTGATGTATTAGATTGAGTTAAAGGATTGTATAGAAATATAGTTGGGCCGAGCCCTTGCTATACAATCGGAACTCATTGGTACCCTATGGGGTTGTCGTGGCCTATGGTCACGGGGAACGAAAATGACGAATTCTAAACGAATATGGGCCCACGAGACGACTACTTGACTTGATATAAAGTATAATTTTTATAAAGGGGTAACCGAGGGTTATGTCCTGTAATATAATATCACCCTAGACTGAGGGTCTTAGAAATTTTAATGTCGATTACACTTAGTATAATTGTCATTGTACTTGTCAAATGCTTCCAAGTACTGACCTCCCCTTCACGGGGGAGGCCACCTCACAGTTTCAGGTAGGAGCTGAGCTTGCAACCAGTGCTCGTGGCTTCGGGAAGATCTAGGAGAGAAGACGTGGTTCGTGCTTCCTTCGTTTCTGTTTAAAAAACAATTAGAACAATGCTCATGGATATTATTTTCTGAACAATCATTGTATAGTATGGATGTGTTGGACTGCAGTTGACTATTTGTACTGTACGGCGGGTTGTTGCATGTCCGGATAGGTCCGAGGTAGTTAGTTTTCAAGATAATACATAATTCTTTCAAACTTTATCGCTCCTTTCCCAAAACATTTATGACTTCTAAAATTGAAAAGTAACCAGATTATGGTATTTCATAAACATTTATAAAATTCTATTTTCTTCCATAAATCTCTTTCCCTTGTTTGGCCTTGAGGAAACCGTCTGCAAGGGTGAAGAAACGCCATGATCGCACTTCACATTTTAGAGAGATCGAGATGAGAAACCAAGTGAATAGAGAAAAATTAGATCGGCTATGGGAGATTCACGTAACTTGAACGGTGGTTTGGACGGAAGTATATGTCCGTCTCATTTATTCTACTTGTGGCACACTGATAATGGGTTTGGATTACTTATGTAAAATTATTTTTGTTTAATTAATGAAAGTATGAATTATTCCTCAAACTTTATCCCTAGGATTTGAAATTATCGTCGCAACAAACCTGAGATATTCCTTCTCTTCTATCTCCGCATCGTCTTCTTCCATTTCCTTCAAATCTTAATGGCTCTCTAATTTCTCCGTACTTTTGAATTCATATGCATCTATCCTACCTAGGAGATACACGACGGGGAGATTTCTACGATTATACACCTACTTTTAAATTGCATCTTCCTTTAATCGTTTTCAATCTTCGATCGACCGATTGGAAAGTCGACACCTCTTAGAACTTACTGGAATTAACATAATGGATCAACCGTCGTTGCTGAGAGTTAGCTTTTTGTGTGTTAGATCGATCACTACATAGAGTTCTGTATTTAAGAAGATGAAATTGAACTCTCTTCGGGTAATTTATTTTCATTAAGTAAATTTTACTTTGATGTTTTTCGTTTTAAATGCTTTTGTGCAATATTTGCTATGAGTTTTCTTGCACGAGTTCGGTTTTTTTTTTCTTTTTGTCTATTTTAAACACTTTGGAGTCTATGTGAATTACAATTTTTGTTGCATAATTTTATTAGTTTCTGTATGAGTTATAATTTTTATTATCTGTACTTTCATTGTTTTTGATAATTTGTAAATCTTGTTCCCCTGTTTTTGGTGAAGAATCTGTCTAGGTAGCCTCCAGCCCCCCCCTTTGATTGTTGCTATTCCTTTAGTGAAAGCCAGGTTGTTTTGTCTTCTGTTATAACTGATTGTGATGTTTCCCAATGCACAACCCAAAGTGTGCAGAAAGCCAGGTTGTTTGTGCACTCTACTGATGCACCTATAGTAACGGATTCTATTGCAGAAAGTCAGGTTGTAACTCAAAGCTAGGTTGTTTCAGCCCCTACAGTAACTGCTTCCATTTTGCACTGTACTGATAACCAACCTGGTGCCCCTGTTGGTAGTGATAAACAAGAGCACAACAAGGTTTCTCATGTAGAAATTGATGCTATTAACTTGGAATGTGTAGAGTTTGTTGTACAAACTCTAGTCCCCTCCCTTACTAACCCCCTGGTTGATACACCCCCTTCTGATATGCCTGCAATTGGCTTTGGTACTCACATCGCCACATTGGAAACTAGTTTTACACGAACTAATCATTTTGTCCCTGAAATTGTTGTCAATACTAGTGTCCCTACAAATTGTGTTGCATTACACATTGTTCATGGAGATTTTACTGTCCCAGTCCCTTATGATTGTGATTTAGAAGCAAGTCCAGGCCGCCTGACCATTCAAACTGCAATTGACTCTGATGGACCCCCGGTGACTGCCTCTAAAACGGCAGTGACCGCTGGTGTAGTCGATCAGATTGTTATGGTGCCCACCGATGCTCACATTATTGAAGCAAATGCTGCTCCCTGAGAACACACCACACCAAACAGAGATGATGACTTTAATTCTGATCCACCGGAACTTGATACTACACTAACCACAAACTTGTCCAATGATGATGCTCTATCTGAGGACCACCATGTTTTTCATAATTTATCATATTGAGCCTATGTGTTCGGTCAGATTAGGTGGTTATTTTAGTTGTAATTCTACCGTGTTTTACTTTTATTTCTAATGCAAATGATCACCTATGAGGTTTGATTAAAAGTTAGGTCTTTTGAGTTAATAGTTATAGTAATTTGAGTAAAAGTTGTGCCTTGATAGTGAATCTTAATGTGTAAACAATAATCTTAAGTTTTAGTTAAAAGTTCATCTAATATTAAAAATAGCACTCATTCTTTTACAAGCTACTGTTAGTTCTTGATTACTTTATTAATTCTCTTCTTTTTCATTTCTTTCGTGATGTTAGATGTTCTTTTTGGTGTCTAGTGTAATATATTATCAAGGGCTCAAGGCTATTAGCTCAAATGGTAGAGCAATGTGCAAAAATGCACAAAGATGTCGATTCGAGTCCCGCATAGCCTATAGTTGCAGCTGTTATTTTGTTTCCTTGCCTTCTTTTTTTTCCCACAGTATCTGCTTGTTTTTTTATCTTATGTTGCATCCACATACTTCTTTTCTTACTTTATTTAAAAGCTTGTTGTATGCACTATAATTCTATCAAGTGTTTATACACTATCAAAGAACTCTTTTGGTACTAATTTAAGCTATATAGTGGCAGGGGAACTTAAACTTGGCACAAAGGCGTGCTTACCAAACGCCCCTTCATGCCAGCTTGAGCCAAACACATGACGCCATCGGCCATCCTATCTATCATCTTCAACAAATGGGATTGCTTCACCAAATCTCCAACCTCTAATAACTAGCCTCGCTACCACTAGTAGAGCTTTAATCATTATTTATAAAAGTAAATGCATGACTTTTAATTCACATTAACTTGAAAGATCAAAATCAACATGAGAATTTATTTAAAGACAAAATAGACTTCAACAAACAATTATCACAATTTCTATCATAAAAAGTAGAGCAAAGTTATATAATAACCAGTAACTTCCAAGTCACAAATATACACTTTAATTAAATTAAAAAAGTGACATGACATAACTTCAAAAATAAATTCAACATCCTATGTTCTCTATGACTTGGATAATTCTGATGTCCAATTTCATCTTCATTCCCAATTTCATCTTCATTTGCTTGCTCAGACACTCATACTTGTCCTCATCTGCCAAAGTAAAAAGAGTCATTTAGCGACATACTAATAATGTTAGCTTCTCATAAACCATAGTTCTGAACAATCAGAATGTACTCTAAGTTCAAAGCAATCAAGATACAAACATACTAGCTTCTCATAAATAACAAAAAACAAACATAATCACAATTATAATTTAAAATTTCATGTGATTTAATCCAAACTATTGATGTGTTGCAAGAACTACTAAAGCAAAAAAACCATTCCATATTGATTAGATGTTCCAGAAACAAAAATTGCAGCATAACTTTTACCTGAATTATGATAACTTTTAAATCGACAGACTTAACTTTTACTAAAACTCTTATGACTTCCAAAACCTAAGATCTTATTATTTAGCATAAATGAAGTAGAGGGGAAACAAAGTAATATTTAAACAACAAATTGATACTGAGTGGCTATGAATTTGATTTTTTATATAATTAAGCTCAAAGTCTAGGTCTGAAACATGTATAGTGAACTAACATTCATTGAGACAACATATCAAGCACCTGGTGTGGGCAAATGATTTTAAGCAGGCGAGAAGATTATAGTTCTTATACAAAAATCATTTTGCTCTCATACAAGAATACAACTGCTCTTCATCCTCACTAGAAAACTAAAATTGATAAATATCTATCAAATGATTAAAAATATCAGAGTATAAACTAAACTAAGAGTAATTATTTTTATCAATTAGAAAATTTCAAAACAGAGACATTGCTTATGCCTAAAAGGACGACCTGTAGCAATTCATCACAATTACTACGAAGTATTTATTATCTATGTGCTTCTAAACTAAATTATAAGATATAAAGACAAAATATACCTCTCTGTGCAGGCAGGCTATGGAGCATGGAAAAAGTGAAGAGCACTACTTATTTCGAAACTTGTGTAATTGACAGAGAAGCTCCAAGTAGCTAGAAAAAACTCCGCCATCGCCTTAGATCTTGTGCGAAGAGGTAACAACGATAGAAGCATGTTGATCACCTCATGTTTCTTTGACCGCATCATCACAAAAAGTAAACTTTTTTGGTTTTACAACCACACTAATAGAGCCTGATCCATAACTTCTAATAAGAAATTCACAACCCTTAATCCAATAACTTCAAGATCAATCTACCATGTGTTATGACATCTCAATGGTAAGTAAATGATATAATTTCACCGTTAAACTAAAATGTTTCTTAATCGTCACTAAGTAACCATGATGCTTCTTTTTTCCTCACTTCTAAAGAATAAAGCTTAACTTCTAAATCTAAATCAATAACTATTATTCTGAAATTCATTACGACTAAGCAATGATCAAGTGAATGGTTTCATGTTACAATTCATATGATTGAGACTCGAGCTGTATAAATACATGTCAAACTTTTAGTTTAATTACAAGTCTAACAAGTTATTAAACATTAATTACATACAAAAACGCATGATTATATAAGACTTGTAGATATATATAGAATAATACACACAAATACAAACAAAAAAGAGTTTTTGTCACTTTTAGTCCCTCGACTATTGTATCAGTGACACTTTTGGTACTTGACTTTTAATTTTTCCATTTTTAGTACTCGACTATAGTGCGAGAGACACTTTTGGTACCCGACTTTAAAAAAATTCGTATTTAGTCCTTCGACTTTTGTAAAAGTGACACTTTTGATCCTTCAACTATTGCAATAGTGACATTTTTAGTCCTTCACTTATTGTGTCAAAATCATAGTAGAATGACTAAAATTGTCAATTTGATAATACTCAAAGGACTAAATGTGGGAAAATTGAAAGTCGGGGATTTAAAGTGTCTCTCGCACAATAGTCGAGGACTAAAAATGGAAAAATTAAAAATCGAGTACCAAAAGTGTCACTGACACAATAGTTGGGGGACCAAAAGTGACAAAAACTCAAAAAAAAACATGAGAGAAACTCCCACATCTCTCTAAACTCCAAAACCCCTGAATTCTGAAATGGATTACCGGCACCCACACGCACATGGCCGGAATCCTTCGTTTCACTTTGTTAACCATAGATTCTATAGGTCTGGATATTTACAGCCGCGCTTCTACAGTGGCCAGCGCGAAGGAAATCACCTTCATGCAAACCGACATTTGCTTAGGGGTTACGAAAGGAGGTCTCTCAACCAATAAGGTTTGGTACTCTCTCCGACCGGCACGACTAGATTGGTATCCTGACCAACTACCGGAACTCTTCAGTCCATTCCACGAATCGCTCCAACACAACGCAGCGGCTCCAGCTTACACATGGTACGAAGTCCGTCACAAACATCAGCGTTCTTCGAGCCTCACCAGATGGTCAAATCGTTTTCTCCTGTGACTAGGTGCATAGTGCAGGGGGGCTGGCGGAATGGATAAAGCCGTCCCACAATTGCAGAATAAGTCTGTGGGTTTCACTGCGCAGGGTCAAACATGATCTGCAAACACCACCTACGGCAAGGGAACTTGCCCAGCACAAGGTGGAGCAGTCAGTAGGACAGACGCTCTCAGAGCGGAGATTCCTTCTCCCTCAATGCAGGGACCCCCAACAATTAATCGCGTTGGAAGATAGAATCACATCTGTACCTATCGCCAAAGATGATGAAAACCAAGTCAACCAGTTCACTAAGACCAGCGAGTTTAATGATACGGCCACCCCTTCTCAAGCCACAACACATGATTGTTCTACTGATTCTGAAAAATTCAATTTTTTTTGGAGAAAAGGGTTTTGACTCCGTCAAAATTGAATCTAAACTACTTAGATTTAATGCCAGAAACAAGGAAATTTTCATTTTTGAAATTGAAAAATCCTCACTAAAAAGGATTAATTTCAAGTCAGTGATAGCGAGCCAAATCTACCGTTTTATTCAACAGCTTTCATGCTCAGATAAATTTTATCGTGGACAGAGCAGAAAATTCGGACCAATCACGGTCACTTCGATAGTCAATAATTCAGGTGGTTATGTGAAGATTTCTAAAGAAAAGGGGAGCTCAATTATAGTACCCAAGGGTCCAAAAAATTCAAACCTCAAAGATTTTTTGACATTATTTTCTAATTTTGTTGGACTATCTCATTTAGAACAGGAGGAGATCATGTATTGTGCGCAAGATGCTACGACTGAAACTGAGGATATAACCATTTCTAAACTCATATTTAACTACGAAGTTCAGAGAGCCTTTGGCAAGAAGCATTCCCTTGACAAACAAGCACACCTTCCACTTCTCCATGCTTACTCTGATGCCTCGGACAGCTTTGATCACTCTGATGATTCTTTCTTCTTAGACGATTTTTTAGGACATGCAACAGAAAGTGATCAACGTCCTCCTTTATCAAACCAGGAAGAAGTTCGGAACTCCAAATTCAACAAAATGATTTGCCGCAAAGCAAAGTTCGTCACCTACGAAAATTGTTTGCCAACAGACAACCTCAACACGCAACTCAAACTTTACAGGAAATCTCAGGAAAATAAAAGTCATCAGAATGATTTGCCGCAAAGCAAAGTTCGTTTTATTCCTTTCCGTTGAATTTGGAGTTCCGAATGCTCTCAGGAACTCAGGAAACTTCACAGTCCAGAGATTTCCCTTGGGTCTAATTTCATTTTATTTTAAATTTTTATTTTCTTTCTGTACTTTCTTACTTTTACTTATCTTTGTGTACTGTGCTTTTTATCTTAATGAATAATTTTTTTTTTCAAAAAAAAATATCAGACTTGTAGTTATTAAATATTAGTTACATACAAAAACGGATGCTAGCACCTGAAGATATAGCAAGGATTGCTATAGAAGATTTTATCAAGTGTTTTTTACTTTCCAATCACCGAAGCTTCAAAAAGCCTGAAAATTGGGCTTACAGTACTCAAGTAGAAGTGAAGAGAAAAAAAGCGTAGGGGCCACACTTATAGATCCAAAATCATTACTTCACTACTATAAGTTCAATTTCTCATTCTCAATCATGTTCGATTTGTTTTTCATTTACTGGATCATGTTTGCCATTGTGTTGAATGTTAAAAGAAAAGACATTATACCAAAACACTAATAGAGCTAGCACCGTAACTTCTAACCAGAAATCCCTAACTTGTAATTTATATATGCATCAACTTTTCAAATAGAATTGTTTTAATACCACAAGAGAGTCATATTTCATTTTTTGTTTACTTTTTAGTTCATACAAATACAACGTATACTTTTATAATATTAATTTTGATCAATATGAAAAAACCTCTTATAATAATAATAATAATTTGTTGCTTCGCACGAACTCTATCACACAATTTCACAGGATTTACTTAACACATGAAAGTGCATAAATTGCATCATTTTACATCTAATATTCACATGAAGTGGCACTTTCACATATACGAACCATGTTATTTCTGATGAAAAAGGAAGATTAGATTTGAGTGGTTCATGACAACTTACTGACCAGGCTCCTTCTCTACTCTCTAGGATGATGTTTTTTCCCTCCCCTTCTTATTTAAACCATCTTCTCCCCTAAATTAGATTCACTACAAAATAACTTCAAATACTCAATAATAAACCCTAAAGTCGAAGAAATTTTGGGGAGAACACAATGCTAGGCTTAATTTAGTGAACCGAAGGTGAATAACTCATTATGTATTGAAAATACTTCTTCGTATCGAATCACACATTGAATAGAATTAAAACGAATTAAGCTGAATTTAAAAGTTACTTTAACTTTTAGGATCTAATTTGTTGAATATATTCGTTGTTAACCATAGTCAGAATACGTTTTAGGTTGAGAAATCCTGAGAGCATTGAGAACGAATAGGGTTACCACTTAACAGAAGCACAACGAGAAAACAGTGACGAGCGCAGCCGTATTGTTGAGCTTGGAAAGAGAAACAACGAAGATGCTCTGTAGCAGGTCGGAGTAGTTGCAGAAAATTCGTTGCCTTCTCGATTTTAAAGCGGCCTGCCTTCTCGATTTTAAAATTGGGCCTTTGATGTGCTTTTAATCGGACGGTCTCAGATTGTTCTCACTTTTCAGCCCTACCAAGCTTCTCACCAGATCTATTCCCTATATATATATATATATATATATATATATATATATATATATATATATATATATATAGGATGCGGTTCCAATGAGAATAATGCTTAACGTGATAACGTGAGAACGTGAGAACACTCACAATTAACCCAATGTAATTCACAATAGAGTCCGTCTGGTTCACATTTTGACTTTGCTCCAAATAAGCAATATAAATAATGATGGTGGCATTTTGGTAAATACTATGCCGAACACGAAAATGTGCATTGGACGAGCCTCATTGTGCATCATATTGAGGTAAATGTGATGTTCTCACGTTCTCACGTTAAGCGTTTTTCTCATTTGATCCTAAATCTAATATATATATATATTAAACCCGGTAAGTAAACCACCAAAATCAGTGCGGCAAATGTTCCCCAACATTTGCGATTTTGCCAAATGTTGGGGAACATTTGACAACTATGAGATAAGTAGCATCCATCGAACTTCCCTTACCAGTAATCCACCATTTCATAAATTGGGATTGTATTTGATTTGCCTGTCTTCCTGTGATTTGCAGTCCTCCTTCAAAGAAATTCCAGATCGATCTTGAGAACCGGCAATCAAGGAGCACATGATCGTGGGATATAGAAGCCAGTTTACATAATGGACAACACGAGGGGTAGCTTGCTGAAAATCTCGCCAACTGTTCCGGGAAGGGAAGCCCTTTCTGCCACACCTTCCATCAAAAAATTTAATTTTTGGCACTTGCTTAGGGTGCCAAATGTTTGTATCTGTCAATGTCCTCCCCCTCCTTGGCCATATTGCCTTGTATGATGAGTTTGAAGTGAACTCCTCGTCACTAGTATGTTTCCATTTGATAGAGGTGGGACCTCTATCCACCATCGTTTCAGCCTCCCCATGAACCTGGCAGATTCTTCTCCAAGATGGAGAGTCAAGAGGCTTGACCTCACCTACTGCCCTGCTGCCATATTTACTCTGCATCAGACCATCCCAAATAGACCCTCCTGTATGAAATTCCCACCACATTTTAATTGCAGCCACTTTTTGGGTGTCCTTCAAAGACCTGATGCCAACTCCTCCCATTTCAGTAGATCTGCATAATTTCTTAAAGGAGACCCAATGCTGTTTTGGCTTGTTTTCTTTAAAACCCCAAAAGAAATTTGTTATCTTCTTATTAATTAAATGAATAACTGCTGCGGAAATATCTGTGACTGCTAACACATGCAGTGGCATGGCATTAATGACATGCTTAATAAGGACTAGCCTCCCCCCTTGAGATAACATCTTATGCTTCCAAGAATCAAGTTTAGCATCCACATCCTGTAAAAGCCCCTTACAATGACCCAGCCTGGAGATGCCCTTTGTGAAGCTGCACCCTTAGGTACTTCATAGGTAATTTAGAAACTTTCATACCCAAAAGATGTTCACAATATGAGCTAACCTTCCTGATGTGGTGTGCCTACAAACCACGAAACAACTTTTATCCTTGTTGACTAATTGTCCAGTAGCCTGTTGATAGGATTGTAGAAAACCATTGAAGTTGCATATAGATTTAGCTGACCCATTGAGGAAAATCATAAGATCGTCTACAAAAGCTAAATGCGAAATGCTTAGGGCCCTACCTATGTTAAATGCTTCAATCTTTCTTCTCGCAATCAAAGCATTGTATCCCCTACAGAAAGCTTCGGACATAATAATAAATAGAAAAGGCGACAATGGGTCGCCTTGTTTTACCCCCCTTTGGGGTTGAAAAAAACCACATGAAGCACCATTAATGACAACTGATATATAGGTTACTTGCAAATTACCCAAAATAATTCATATCACATGATCAGAAAAACCAAACTTAGCTAGAATAGCCTCCAAAAAACCCCAAGCAACCCAATCGAAGGCTTTGGTCATATCCAGTTTAATGACCATGTTGGACCCTCTCACCTTTTTATCCAAATGATGCAACATTTCAAAAGCCGTCAAAAATTGATAATGAATTTCCTTTCCCTTCTTGAAACCGGACTGTTTCCCGGAAATAATTTTAGACAATAAAGAAGTTATTCTCGTAGCAAGAATTCTGGTATTAATATTGCTGAGAAAGGTAGATAAACAAATAGGTCTTAAGTATCATATATATATATATATAGTGTAAGGATCAAATGAGAATACCATTTTAGGAGAGAAATGAGAATGATTCTGAAGCGTTGGATTTGAGCATTGTGTATCATGTAAAACAGAAACGTGCATATAAAAAATTGGAAAATGTGCATTTCGTCTGTGCAAAATTTTAATCGTAAATGTGCACATTAGAATTTTGCATTACTTTAACTATAAATGTGCAGTTTTGTGAAGGATAAAGTGCATCGTTTTGGAGTGTTCTCATTTCTCACGTTAAGGAGTGTTCTCACCGAAACACACCCTATATATATATATCTGCATCTAATCTTACAGCACAGTAAACTTTTAGACTGAATATAGGAACTTATAACCAATAAATCATAACTTATAAAGCTCTCCATCATAACTACATAAATGCCACCGCGTCAAAAAAAATTGAAGGTTTCTGGAGTTATTTTTTGCGGTGGCATTTTCGTAATTTTTTTCGAGGGGGTCTATAAGTTATGATTTATTAGTTAAAAGTTCGTGTTTTTAGTCTATAAGTTAAACTTCGCAGTTCTCAGCCTAAGGGCATTTCTCACCTGATCCGCTCTCTCTCTCTCTCTCTATATATATATATATATATATATATATATATATATATATATATATATATATATATATATATGATTAGAGATTTTTATTACAAATTGGGATAGAGGAACCAAGCCGACCCCCATCCAGCAAGAAAAACAAATGGAAATTACAGTCTAATAAAAGGAGTCCTATACAAATCATCTAAAAATGCCATTCTGACAGTCGGGGGTAGATCATTAAAGGATTAAAAAAATTTGAACGAGACATTATTTAATTCCAAATAGGCCATTTCGTGAGCGACGCTGTTGGCCTCCCTATGACTGTGCGAGAAAACAAGCCCACAGTTAATCATGGCCCATTGTAGGCGTTCAGACAGTCCACACCATTTTTTAAGGTGGGCACCCTTCCGCACCGTTGCAATTGCCGCCAGGGAGTCTGATTCAACTTGGAAAGCGGAGTAGCCTTGCTCTAAACACCAATTGACCGAAGTGTGGATAGCCTGGAGTTCAGCATGAAGGACAGACGAAGTGTTCTGCTCGAAGTATAAAGCTGCAATTAGATTCCCACGGTAATCTCTTAGAACTGCCCCTTCTTTAGAAGTTTTATTGAAAAAATGAGGCGTCAGTGTTGAGTTTAAAGGAGGATAGAGGTCTGGTCCATAAAATGATTCGAGGAGTGGAGGGTTTGGGACGCAGGAGAGGGTGAATCAGGTCAGATGATAGCGGGGTAGGAATGGGTTGAAAATTTGGAAGACTAAGGGACCAAAGGTGTGTGTAGAGGTTGATGGGAGATAGGGTTTTGTGAGGGAAAATGGGGTAGGGGAGTTATCCCAGGTTAGTTCTGCATATTTTTTCCATATGCGCCAAAAGGATAATGCATGGGAGGGCTTTGGAGAGGCTGTGTTTGGGGCTATTTTTTTTAAACAACCACCAAGAGATGCACATTTGGGTGATAGAACAATGGTGAGTGGGGATAGGAATCAAAAAAAGGTTCATGAAATGTATCCAGATGGGCTTGATAGCCTGGCAGTGGAGAAAGATGTGGTTGGTGAAGACCGACTGCTATATATATATATATATATATATATATATATATATATATATATATATATATATATATATATATATATGGTTGAGATCACATGCAAACCATGCTTAACTTACTAACCTACAAACTTAATAATATGCAACACTTTGAACTTAAATATGCAGTACAAATAATGTAAAGATGCACTCTTTGAATTTCTATATGCAATACAAATAATGTAAAGATGATTTGTATGGGAGGACTAGTTTGTATGTGATCCCACCCCTGCATCTTTACATTATTTTTATTGCATATTGAAGTTCAAAGTAATGCATATTATTGAGTTTGTAGGTTAGTATTTTAAGCATGGCTGGTATTTGATCTCTTATATATATATATATATATATGTGTGTGTGTGTGTGTGTGTGTGTGTGTTTTGGTTCAAATAAGAACATGATCTTAGGAGAGAAATGAGAACAAATCTGGACCGTTAGATTTGCTTTAAGTGAAATTCAATGTGCATTAGATGAAACTGTAATGTGCATTATGTAAAATTGTAATGTGCAACACAAAGCGTATGATACAATGTCATTAAGTGAAGCTGAATTGTGCATTAGGTGAAATTAAAATGTGCACTAGGTGAAACTGAAATGTGCAGAATAAAAGGTACGATGTGACGTTATTTTTGAACATTTTATTCCGCACATTTCAGTTTCACCCAATGCACAATTGAGTTTAAATTTTTATTCTACACATTTCAGTATCATGTAATACACATTTCAGTTTCATCAAATGCACATTTCCGTTCCACATAATACAATCCAACGGTCCAGAGTCGTTCTTATTTCTCTCCTGGGAGTCCGTTCTTACCGGAACCACTCCCTATATATATATATATATATATATATATATATATTGTTGAGGTTTAGTCCCGCAGATCCGAAAGCCCAACACACGCTTTGGATATTTCAGGATATGGATTATGATTTGTGTATAAGGAAATATAAAAGCTGACGAATAATAATGCTCAAGAGCCCACTTGTATTAGGCAATTTACTGTTACACAGAGACTTCCCGAACGGTACGTCAGAATAGTGATTAATATAAGAACAAGAGAGATAAAGCTATTCTAGGCCTTGAGTATCAAAATGCTAACCCTTTACAATGAGATTAATCCCTCTATTTATACTAATGTGGGTATGGGGTGCTCTATGCTAATTGGTAGTTAATCCCCACCCTTCGTATGTCCATGCTCCCCACTTGCTGATGTCACAATCTAGCATTTAATGCACTCTGCCACTTGCGAGTTGTCCGTTGCCCGAACGGGGTGATAGACCTTGCTGGAAATATCTTTGATCTGGCCCAAGTATATTGGCTGACCCGATCCCCATTCGGGTAATATATTTCACCCTCGGCCTGTTCATCTTTTGGATTCCGGGCTATTTATTGGACTGGATATATTGGGATTTTGACCCGGGTATTGGGCCCAATATCCCAACACGAGTCCCCCACTTCCGATGTCTCGAACGGTAGTGAGTGCATTGGGAAGTAGAACTTATACGCCGAATGGCGATCGAGATTAGTACCTTATTTGCGGCCGTCGTTTGATTTTTTCCATAATCATCATGATTACTGGCCTTTGCTCTCCCATGCGACACGTGTCTAATTAAATATTCCAGGTGACGTGTCTTCTTCTGGTTGGTTATTGATTCGGCGCTTGTCAGGCTATAAATTGGCCTTAAATTTCTTGGATACGGGTTTCGAATTTTCATTTCCTTCATGCCTTTGTTCTGCCTTCTCTCTAGGACTCATCAATTTTTCGAGTGTTCAGGTACCTTGTACCCCTCCCTTCTGTTTCCGTCACTTCGCGTTCGGTTCATCATGTCTTCTCGACCATCTTCTTCTGGTTCGGATTCGGGGCCTATTTCTTGAGGGGAAACCCCTGACGCCGCTGTAGCGGACACCATAGAAGTCCCTTTTGCTGATGTCGCCAGTAATGCGACTGCGGGGGTCGTTGATGAAGATAGTTCAGGCGATTCTACTTCTGGCGAAGATTCTGACGGCACGATGTCCGACGATGAACTGGCTTTAATGGCGGCTGGCCCTCCAGGCGATGTCCCTCGTTATAGGGTTGATCAGAGGTTAATCAGGGAGAGGAGACAAAAATTGACTTCTCACAATAGGGCCCAAATTCTAGCCCTAATTCCTGACCCGGTTAATTTCCGTCTTCGGGCTGGGCTTCACCCAATGCGCCACCTCCCTGGGATGGTGGTGGTCCATTTAGACTCGGTAAAAGCTAGGCTTAGGTTTCCCCTGCACCCGTTTTTCGTATCTTTCTTCAATTTCTATGAAGTAGTATCAGCCCAAATCATGCCGAACTCCTATCGAGTGATGGCCGGCTTCATTTGCCGTTACGTAGACGCCAAGATTACACCCACTCTGGAACTTTTCCACCAATTTTTTAAGGTAGTCCCCCAACAGACGCATGGCTACTTGGCTGCAACTGCCCGAACGGGTCATATTTTATTTAAGGGCAACCTTACTTCAATCATGGGGTGGAAAAATCGATTCTTCTTCGTTTCCATCCCGGACGGCTTGATTCCGAATAGGTGGAACGTTTTCCCCCGTAAATCTCCCGATCCGCTCCTTACTGAGCAAATCTGCAAAGATGTTTTTGCGGTGGAAGAGGACAAGACCTGCGATATTATACGATACCTGACTCCCGATCGACTTATTAGTGCCAGGATAGGTACTGCCCGCACTCTTGGGGTTGCTTGATTGAAAACCAAGTGCCATGGGCCGGGCGGTCCTTCCTGTGCAAGAAACGTCCTTTTCTAGTTTCCCACGTGGTGTGATCGCTCGGTACTAACTCTTATCTTTGTTATTTTTTCAGCTTCCAATCCAGATGCTCCCATGGATGATAGTCGTGTTCTCGCTGCTGGTGGAGTTGGAAAAAGGAAAAAGGCTAAGAAAAATAGCCACCCCAAACCTTCCACTGCTGCTCTTCCGATCCCCGATCCGCCTGCTCAGACCGCTCAGCCTCTTCGGCAGGCTTCTATCCAACAAGTTTTTGATGATGATATGCTGACAGACACTCCGTTCGAGTCAGATTCACTGCATCATCTATATGATGCATTCCAGGCCGCTCAGGAGGTCAATGTGGGGGCCCATCAGTCTACTGCTGCTGAGGTGGCGGTATAGATCAGGCAGATCTGTCTAGAAGATCCGGTTCATGAGATCTTGGAGAAGGCCGGCTCTTCTGCGAGCTAGATCTGGACGAGTTCTGCTTTTTTCAATAATTTCCCTCTGCCTAACCTCCTGGTCGATCAGGCAGAGGAATGTGTTGCACTAACAGCTCTGAAGGTACCTGGCTGCTACCCCTTTATTTCTTTTTAAAAGTTTTTCTTCTCCTTATTTATCCTTGATTCTAAAAATGTTTTTAGATGGGGCTATATAGTCTACAGCTGAGGGAGGCCCAATTATCCAAAGAGCGGGATCTAGTTGTTGCTCAGACTTCAGCCGAACAGGCTGCCGCTGCCGCCCTTGCAAACTCTGAGGCCGAACGGAAGGCCTTTGCGGAAGAGAGGCAGGTATTCAAAAATGAGCTGGGTAGACTTCGAGTTCCACTGGTTGCTGCCCAGGCTAAAGTTTCTGCAGCTGAGGCCGTTCAGGTTAGGTTTGCAGAAATGGCCCCCCGCATCTCGGATGGTCCTACTGAAATTAACGTGGATCTGTCCACCGTTCGGGATGTATTTAAATCTTCCGATGAGTTTACTGCCATCAAGGAGGAATATGCTTGGCAACAGCTGCCAGCAAACTTTGGGGCTTATTTTGAACAATTTCCTCGGGGCGATATCCGGCGCACGGAAGGCGTGAAGCTGCTCGATCAGGATCCTCGGGGTGAACATTTCAATGACTCCCTGGCCAAATCTCTCTACATCATGGGTTGTCAACATATTCTAATCCCCTTTTTAACCAAGCTTCAAGAGCAGCTAGGGAGGCCGGTCGAGTTTTCTGATCTTCCCTCGGTTCCAATTGTTGAGGCCCAGTTTGAAAAGTATCAACGGGATCTGCAACGGGCCGCTGATCGTGCAGCAAGGAAGGAGCCCGAAGCCCCTTCATGACTTCATCCAATGCAAAGGTTGATGCTATCTCAAATGAAGTGGACACTATCAAGACAGTTCTCTCCTCCATGAATCAAACTCTGAACTCCCAGCATACCACTCTTACCACCTTGTCTCAAGCTGTTGACTCACTGTAAAAATCTGATACCTTGATTCAAGAGAGACTACAACAACTCAACACGCTCTGCAGAGAACACTCTGAACAAGGCAGGTTACTCCTAACTGCTGACAAAGAGAGATATCAGAAGATGGTCCTGCTGGAAGCAAGCAACAAAGACATCTTCTCTGCTATCCAAAAACAGCAAGGGTTGATAGAAGACCTTACCTCTGTCACACAAACCCTACCAGAGGCCCTTGAAGAACTTGCTACATCTCAGGCCACAGAATTCCAGAGGCTCAGCTTGATGATTGAAGACCTCCATGATGCCAAAAGGGGGGAAGAGGACCCTCAGCCTCCTAAGCCTCGCTCTACCAGAACCTCTGCTAGAGCATCATCCTCTGCTGAACTAGCTGTTGATCCCACTCCGTATTTTGAGGCTGCCATTCAGAAGAAAAGGCTGGCAGGCATTCCTAGACCTGCATCTCCACACAAGAAGGCTACCAAAAAGAAAAAGGCCCTAAACTTTATTGATTGGAGACTCGGTGGATCTCAGAAAATTGACAGATCTCAATTCGAGGAAATGAAACAGAAGATGACCTCTACTCAGCAGCATAACCTTTATCTTGACAGAGATGGTCATGTAAGAGTTAAGCATGGTGGTTCCCTGGAAGAAGCTGAATATTGGTTTCCCAAGCATATTCTTCCAGGAAAAGATGTTTATGAAGGCGTTCTTAGCTATCTGGATTGCAAGCTCTCGC